ACACCTATGCTTTTTTGAGCGGCTTCGTTTTTGGAAAGGGTCATGGACTTTTTTAAAACCAAAAAGCAGCATTTTTGCTACAATAGAGTTCAATGGACACTCTGCTAAAATGGAAGTAGTGGGTTTTTGCTGCGTTTTGCCGTTTATGCCGAGCAACAAAAACATTTTCCCTATAACAAAAAACAAACAAACAAAACGCTAAAATAATGCAAAACATGGTAAAAATGCGGCAAAAATGCAAAATGTAATGGACAAAATGCATTGGTGTGAACCAAGCCTCACAGCTATGAAAAACACCATTGCCTCTCCTACGGCCGGCCAAGGATAGCATTATTGCGTCTTCCAAATATTCTTCTAACATGTTTACTGCCAATTTCCGCACACACATGGCGTGAATATGTGCTGAGTCTAAAAATTGATTTTTTTTTTCATAATATTATTTGCAAAGGTGGTTCAGTATCTCATATATCCAAATACACAAAAACTGTGACAGTAAGATGCCACCACGTAGGTTGCAGTCCAGTCATTTGATGAAGGAATTTCACACAGCATCTAATGATTTCCTCCTACAATCCCAGGGGTCATATCTGGTAGTCTTCCCACACTATGATAAGCAACAGATATAGAGTGGAGATGGTGGAAGACCCTCTTTTCCTTTTTTGTATTGCTGTCAGTGTCCAAAGTGAGATTACTACTCACTCCCCCTCTAGTGACACCTTGACAGGAAGTGTGGCTTATTGTCACCACTGGGGAACACAGACCACAATAAAACATGACAGAGATTTACACCCCGGTCACACTGATCCGATTTTGAAATCGTGCAACTTCCAGTGAAGTTGCACGACTTCAAAGTCAGATGTCATTCTGACTTGAGGTGTGACTTGCAAGACGTCTGCAGCTTGCAAGACACAGATGTCTATGCACGTCGCACCTGAAGTAGTGCATGTCAGAATCACACTGATATGGCTGCTTTAATTGCAGACAATAGGGGGAGACTTGCCATACAATTCGCAACTCTCATGGAAAGTCGCACCTGGTGTAATCGGGGTGTTAAACCAGTCTCCTCTCTGTCTTCAATGAAAAAGGTATTTTGATTTTTCACTTGTATCTCCATTGGAGAGACTTCCCCTTCACTTGTCCCTGTGACAGGGAGGTAAAAAGAGGAAGGAAAATCTCCCTAGTGTGGAATCAGAGGTCAATAAAATCTGACACAGTCTCTAACCCTTCTCCATTCTATGAACTGGAGCAAGTGGTTAGGAAAAACTACTAGACTAGATCATAACGTGGGAGATATACTAAACTGGTGCACACAAAATCTGCTGCAAACTTGGTTATGTACATGCATAATAACCAATCAGCTTCTAACTTCAGCTTGGTCATTAAGCTTTGAAAATAAAACCTGGAAGCGGATTGGTTACAATGCACAGATGCACCATATTGGTTGTGCTCCAGTTTTAGTAAATCTCCTCCAATGTGTGTGGGCTACTTTAATTCTTTGGCTGATACTACACTGACCTACCAGTTACTGATAGCAGTATACAAGTCACAAAGCCAAATACCTGTCCCAGAAGCTGCTATTTCCATCCTCTGGCTGCGTGCTGATTTAATTCTGTCTAAGGTTTCTGAAAAAGTTGTTTTGCCTAATGGTAGACTCCTATTGGCCAGCACTCTAAAGTATTATCATGTAGTTCACAAAATTGTATGGCCTTCTTAAATGGCTTATTAAACAACTCTCAGTCCAGACTGATTAGTAGTTTTTGGCATAGGATTTGGTGCATTGGACTTGGGTTTGGGTTTTCTCACCCGTCTCACTGTGATAGGTGGCTTAACCGCCAATGTGTACCACGCCCTACTCAAAACAGGACAAATAACTGCAATTAGGGAGTGCTAAATACAAATCTGAATAGAAACCTGTCAATATAGATTTTCAAAGGTGCATGCCCTGGGGTTGTCATCCTCACCCTTCCTTCATTACATTGCTAGACAAGGACCAAGCATCTGCATACCAGAAGGCATAGTAATAGAGAAAATATAAGAATGATGCCTCCAGCACCTGCACTATCATCAAGTTGGAAAAAGCAATCACCTTTTTTTTTTCAGGCCAGTTCCTTTCTCATTAGTATTCCTCACTCCAGGACTGAAGCTGGTGGGTGCTTTGAGAGCTTCAAGACAGTTGCTCATAAGGGCTCATTTACACTTGTGATTAATACCCTGTGGTTGAGCTGCAAGTTTAGCGCTCCTCAACTGCTCCCCCTTTGCTGCAGAGGGCACAGCCGCAGCAGTAATTGTATCCCTGTTGTGTGACCCATTCAAGTGAATGGGGATACACTGCAAACACATATGTGGTTGCGGCAGTTTTCTGGTATTTAGGGGGTTAAACCAGGCAGCGAGGAGGCAATACAACATCTCCTATCCAACTTCAGAGTTCTCTGAGGACTGATCTGAGCACGGATTGCTCTTCAGAGCAAGTTTAAAGGAGCCATAACTCATTTAATGCTTTGTCAGAGTATCACCACCTGAGTAGGCCCCTTAAAGTGAACCTGTCAGGATAGGAATAGAACTGCCACTGCTGACTTCCATTTGAATGCATTAGGGCCATCATTCATACCCTTCTTTAAAACATGCTGGCTGGACAGTGGAATAGCAGCAGTTAACTGATGAGGTCATCTAAAAGTGGAGCGTCACCTAAAAAGGGAAATTCTGCTTTTCCTATTTTTTAAGTATAGTGAACTTTTTTTTTCTGGGAGCAGGTACCTATTTCTGGCAGGTACAAGCTCACTCCCAGTATGCCTAGGTGAGCAGAGCAGACATTCACCCCCACCTGCAACCTCCTGGGACACACACAAAACATTTCCCACTAGTATTGTTATTATCCTAGATTGTAAGCTCGAAAGAGCAGGGCCCTCAAACCCCTCGTGTAGTATATTGTTACTGTCTTGTCTCATGTTCTGTCCCCCTTGCTATTGTACAGCGCTGAGCAAACCCTTTGGCGCTATATAAATACTGTATAATAATAATAATTATACAGGATTTATATAGCACCAACAGTTTGCTCAGCGCTTTACAATATAATGGGAGACAATACAGCAACAATACAGTTCAATAGAAGAGGGATAGGAGGGCCCTGCTCCCGGAGCTTACAATCTAGGAGCCACTAGGCTGCAGGTCCATTCAGAAAGCGCAGTGCGACTTGTCCAGGTGCAGTGGGGAGCCGGCTGTGAAGCCGCAGGGAGTCACAGTTGGCTTCCCACAAGCAAGATGGTGGTATCAGGGACCCGTACACCAGCAAAAAACTGGTCTGGGTGATGACAGCGCTAGATTCCTTGAATGGTAAATGTGTGAGTTGTTTTTAAAAGTCAGCAGCTACAGTACTTGTAATCTTCGTACAAATGATTGGAGTTCCTCTAAGTTGGCCAAACACTGTGAATTTTGGCAGGTTCCTGATGACCTGGCTGAAATATGCTCCTTGGGTGGCCCTTTCAACATCCTTTCTCATGATATCCTTGTATTGGAAGATCAAAGACACTGGATACAGAACAAGGGCAGCAGCCAATGATTTTCAAGCCAGTGTTCAACTACTCTGACAGCCACTGGTGGCAGCTGCTAGAATACAATAGTGGCAGCTTCGTCCATCTGTGCTGTGTGCATGAATGGATGAATTTGCAGGCTGGCCAGCTTTACTGCTCTCACCTATAATGTTTTGCAGCCTGATTGGCTCCTAATGTTGCTCTTCCCTCTCAGTCTGAGCATCCAGTCAAATTCATTACTTGCACTAGTTGCTTCAAAAGCATACATGGAATAATGTGTAATAACGTGGACAGCACAGTGGCTAAATGGTTAGCCTTTCCACCTGGCAATACTAGGGTCATTGGTTTGAATCCCAGCCACGGCACCACCTGCCTGGAGTTTGCATGTTCTCCCTGTGCCTGCGTGGGTTTCCTGCGGGTACTCTGGTTTCCTCCCACACTCCAAAGACATGCTGGTAGGTTAATTGGCTCCTGTCTAAATTGACCCTAATATGTGTATGTATGAATGTAAGTTAGGGACCTTTGATTGTACACCCCTTGAGGGGTAGGGGCTGATGTGAATGTACAATATATATATGTAAAGCGCTGCGTAAATTGATGGCGCTATATAAGTACCTGAAATAAATAGTTACAAAGCTGCATTCATTTGTATTTTCCTGGTTCACTTGGAGAGATGGTAACCAGGAATAATGATGTACAGTATCGGGTGTTGGGACTCCTAGAAGGGTAGCAACTGATATTTGCCAGCCTGACAGGTTCTCTTTAAGATTGCTACAAGAACCATTGGTGAAAAATATCAGGTCAAATCCATTGGCTTGGCTGGAATTCCTAATCTAGTAAAATAGCACCAATGTCTTGAATGTCTGTTGAATCCTTTAGTCCTCATGCACACTGGATGTTTTTACAGCGGCTGTTTTTGGCTTTTGATGGTTTTTTCTACAGCTAGTAAACCCCCCAGCATGTTATCCTATGTGTCCATGCACAAATAGACTGTAATCAACGTTTTTTGGCTGGAAAAAAACCCAAGACTAGTGGGTTTCTGGAGGAGTTGTTTAGCTGTAAAAACACTCTAACACGGCAAAACGCAGTAAAACTCTGCAAACCAGTGTTTTTGGACTTCTTTTGACCCAAAAAACCTGCTAAAAATGCACACGTGGGAAAACGCAGCTTAACGCTAATGCAAAAATGCTAAAAAAAAGCGTTATCAAAACGTCCCGTGTGCATGAGGACTAACTGATGTCAATTAGTTTTCAGATTACACACATGTATGACCATCATCTAGGGGCTATGATGTTACCCAAAGTGTTTGGTTGTTTTTTTTTTTATACTAAGATATTGTTATTGTTAAAATATTCCTTTTCTCTGCATATAAAGTTTGCTCCAAAGAAAGAAGTAGGAATACGGTATTTACCACGTTGAACTTTATTGAAGCACCAATACATTGTTTGACGTGTCCTTTTTGCTGTCCTACAGGTTGGGTTTTCGGAGAACGCTTGCATGACCAAGAAAGGGGCTGGTTCCCCAGCTCAGTGGCAGAGGAAATCCTGAACAAAGACATCAGGACGCAGAACCTGAAGGAATGTCTCCGGGTGCACAAATCCGATGATGGCAGCCAGAACAAAGACCGGCGGAAGATGGGAAGCCGGACGCGGCAGTGACCCCTAGCAATGGAATGGGGGGCCAGCATGCATTGGGGGCTGGGTTGGGGAGAAGAGCGGTGTGTCTGTGACGCGATGCAAATATTCTATATAAATATATGTATATTATCTACAAACTTGTGTTACTGGTGTTCTCACAAGAACTGACATGGCATTTCATCAACTTGCTGAGCACAGTACAAGCTGACAGGCAAAATAATCCTACACACAAATATATATATACACAGGGAGGTTATATAAGGGTTTATACATAGCATAAGACATTAGTAATGGATTACAACTCACTGCACACAGAAGAAGGAGCTGACATATGAAGACCTCCTAAGCTTGTCTAAGGTGCTAAAAGTAAATTCAATTTTATTCTTTAAATATAGAATCATCTGGGCTGTGGAAAGGGCTGTGGGCTTTGTTGGCCCACAAAAAGATCTCCGTTTTTCAAACAAGAGGTGTAGCTACGTTACATTTGCTAAGATACTATAGCTCCAGCAATGTAAGTGTTAAAATATACTAACAATATGTTTATTTTTATCATTTGACCAATTGTGTTAGTGCTGGTTCACACTGCACATCGCATGCGATTCACGCAGGAATTGCACCGCTTCTCTTTGCAAACCACATGTGATTTCTGTGCATTGCAATTTGAGCCATACATTTTGTATGGCTCAAATTGCACCGCACCAAAAAAGTGCAGGATCCTTTTTTTGTCCACGCTAGAATAGGAGCGTATGGGTGTTTGCACCCATGGGATCTGATTCTGCACATCGCACCCCGTTTCGCAAACCGATTTCAGGGTGTCATTGACTTAAAAGATAAGTTTATCTTTGGGAACATGTTACATGTTCCTTGTTATGCCAGCAACAACGTACCACTTCATATTCCAATCTTCCTATCTTCCCATCAAGATCTCCTTAGCCTGAATTTGTTGTATGCCATACAATCTCTCTCTCTCTGTGATCTTCCAATGTGCTGATCCAAATCTCCAAAAAAAAAGAAAAACTAATATAGTGTATTTCGTATACGCAAAAATTCCATGTGCAGCTTTGTGCAATATAATGTGCAATAAACAAGGAATGTGTTCCACTCTTCCCTAAATACTCTTACCCTCTAAATGTACATTTCACTCTTAAACCGTGAATCAAATCCACAACACGTGTAACTGTCCTTCATCCACCACCTGTGTGCAAAGCCAAAAACAACGTACTCGATCCCTTTCCCCTTCAGTCATGCACCTTACCCTGCATGTCTTGTGAATAGCCTTTTTGCAATCAAGTATCAACGTGCCCAATCAGCTCCTCACTTCTTCACAAATTCTCAGTGATCATGAAAGATAAACATACTCCCATAGTGCAATATTGCTTCAAATCAAGTTTAATCATTTATAAATGTGCTTACGTGTGTTTGGAATACAAGCAGCTTGATTCTACCAATTTAGAAAATGGCCACCACGGCACTTCCGGTTGCTTCTGACATATTTCGTCATTGAACTGACTTCCTCATAGGCAATGAAACGCGTCAGTCAGATGTTCTGTCAGACACAACCAGAAGTACTGTGGCGGTCATTTTGTAAATTGGTAGAATACTACACTATATTAGTGGGGGGTTTTTTTTAGACTTGGATCAGCACTTTGGAAGATCACAGAGAGATTGTATGGCATGCAACACATTCTGGCTAAGGAGATCTTGATGGGAAGATATGAAGATTGGCATACGAAGTGGTGCGCTGTTGCTGGCATAACAAAGACTTTTATACCCAGGGGGTATTGGACTGGTAGCTGCACATTCGTTTGTGTTGCTAATTTTTGTGGCGCTATATTATTATAATAATGTTACATGTTCCACCTGTTTTTAGGGTGGAACATGTAACATGTTCCCATAGCCGCCACATCTGCCACCCCCTCCCTTTGACAGATAGTACGGGGAGAAATCTCCCCGTACTATCTGTCAAATTTGAAAACAGCGTGGCCATTCGGGGCTCCACCCACATGGCCGGATCACTCCTTCACAGACTTCTGTGAATGAATGAACTGCACGTCCCAACAGCCATAGCAGCTGTGGGCCTGTAGTTCTCAATGAACTACCACGGTGCTGTGGAGCGCTGTGGTAGTTCATTGAAGCTTCCTGTTAGTATATCTGCTTGACCATACATCCCATACGGCAAGCAGATATTCTGACAGGTCTGCAGGAGACCTGCACGGCATCAGTGGTCTACTGATCGTTGGTGCAATGCTTTCCAGGCTCCTTTGGACAAAAATAATAAATGCACATTTTTACCTGCAAAAAAATGTGCATTTATTATTTTTGTCTAAAAGGTGAACTTATGCTTTACCATACACACCCACAGCAACGGTGCGATTTTGATGCGGTGCGGGAATTGCACAGAATGGGCGACTGCAGTGCATCAGTGTGAACCGGCACTCAGATTTTTGAAGACTGAATTGAGCTAAGGTATGGTAAAACTTGCCATACAGGAGCATTTACTCTTTTGTGGCAGACCTCCTTGGTTAATCCTGATGACCATCTCTCCTTAGAATACCTGGGTATTTAGGAAGGCCTAAACCAAACAGGCAATTTTCAGTCTTTACTTCCTTGAAACTAGAATGAAGTTTATGACTTGTGGAATGGCAGCTTCCAACAGCAGATTCAGATGTTGTGCTGCTAAAAAGATTACATTCAAAAATATCAAAGGAGCATGTACCCCAACAGCCACTTTGAGAAAAAAAAAACAGTATAAATGATTGGCCAGGCTGAACTTCCTGAGGTGGTACTGCCAGAATGCAGTGTGAGAACATTAGGAGATAAAGATGGGATATGGTAGATACCATAATCTTATAATGTGTAATTTACTGAAAATGGAAGAAAAAAATGCACCATCTTGTAGCTCATGCCAAAAAAACCTCATCAAGTGGAACCCAGATTCATATAACCCTGTAGTTCATGCTATGGATGGCTAGTACTACTTTAATTAATGACTAGCTGCAGCTGATGCGTGGTTTTGCAGGCAGCACAACTAGAAATCACCCATGTAGTTTAAGGCTAAGAGTTTCTACAACCATCCAAAAAAAAGAAATGCAACAGAAATAGCTACAGTTTATCCGACGATACCAGGGTTCATAGACTGAGAAGCACTTGTCCACACAGAGATTGCATGGCTCTTGGCCTATCTTTGTACAATGAATCCCTCTGACGAAGAAAAGGAAGTGTCCAGTTCCCTCAGGGAGGTCCTGGTTCTACAAGAAGGGGCAGATCTTTCATTGCTCGTCTTTCTCAGTGACAGATCTGCCCCCCATCTTCTTCCATCCAGCACCTATCACCTCAGTCATTTCTAAAACAGTGTTAGCATACTTCTATTTTTATATTCTTTTTCATACTTTTTAAATAAATTTACAATATGATGTAATCTTACATCGTTATCATAGAGATTTTTCAGACAGGTATTTTATTTTCTTCTGGTGCAGAGAGGGTCACTTTGGATTTTCTACAAGGCCCACATTTACAATATTTGGATTTAGTGAAGCCAGCACACAAATTCTTGCAATACAGCATCAAGCCACTTTGTGGGGATGAATGGGCCTATTTTCTGGTAACCTATCTCACAGGTGCAGGTTGCCCATGAAGAGTGGATGTGATTTGATTTCCTTTTATGAAGCAGAGAATTTTCGAAGGGTGATAACAATCAGGGCGATGAGAACAGAGGCGCCAAGGAGGGCAGCCAGAACAATGGCAGCCACAGCTCCGGGACCCAGGGAACCTGCAGAAGGGATCACAAAAACATGCAAAGTTTGTGTGTCATTACCAAGTAATATTTTTTATATAAGCAGTTGGTTTTACATGTGCTCTGTTTTGTTATAGAACTGGAGGTGAGACCCAGATATCTTTGATCTTAATACAGTTACAGTCACCTCAATGTCTGTGCATGGTGTGAAAAGGGGCAGTGTGGCACACCTTACTTATACACATAAACACTGAGAGGGAAAAAGGAGTTATTGCACTGCTTGGTACACACGAGTGCTCAGTAAAGGCCTGGCTACACTGCAGGTTGTGTCCACTTAGAAACCGGTGCTTGCAGCATTTAGTCAATGTTGATGCTGCTCCATTAGTTGCAGTGGGTGAAAGAAAGCTGGTACACCAGAAACCTGACTCTCAGGGATGTGTGTCAGAGTCACATTGCACAGCACCACTTTCTGAAAGTTCAGGAGCAAAAGTATTACAATGATGTACCATTCAGGATACCTAAAATATTTGGGAATGCACTTTTAGCGCTGGTGAGCATGGTCATCAAAGGGCTGCTGTACAAGGATCCTTTTGGGCCCCATTCAACTACTGCCCAAGTTAACAAGATAGATAGATCAATAAGCCTCTGAGATAATCTGAACTATCTCCTGGTTCAGAATATATTATTGGAGTTGGACAGCAAATACCCCCTTCATTTCCAGTCCAAATGGTACCAAGAGAAAATAGGAGAAGCATTCTGCAGGTTTCAGTGGCAGTCAATCAAGTCAATTGAAGGAGGTGTTTGGTGACCAGCAGAGAGTTTGGATACTACAAACCAAGAGTACAGGGACATCATCATAAAGAAAATCTCATGCCCCCCCCACTTTCCCTTAAAGTGAGCCATGCCCAACCCACATCTAGTGCATATGGGTCCCCAAATCCCAGGGTCCTCTTTTGCTCCTGTGCAGTCTGCAAAAATGGTATGTTAGCCCATGACTCCTAAGGTGAAAAGGACCACTGAAAGATTAGATGATTTTCATGAACTGGTTAATGTAAAATAGTTTTTAAAGCATAATTTCAGCCAAACATTCCAGACAATGGCTTTTACCAGCCAGGATTATGACATAAGGGGAAAGGGAGCATTAGAGGGACAAAATCAGCAAGGTTAGCAGAATGCATTTCATACCATATTGTTCAATCATCAGCCTTTACAATCAGGCACTATAGTGCGAAACGGGTTAATGGGTTCTGCTATCACTGCTGATTTTGTGCCACCAATGATTAACCAC